ACTGATGAGAAACATCTATTAGCTGCCTCCTGCACATCTCCTACTGGGGATGTGCCCGCAACCCAGGAACATGCCCTTGACCGGAATCGAACCTGGGACCTTTCAGTCCGCAGGCCGACGCTCTATCCACTGAGCCAAACCGGTTTCGGCTGTTTAAAATTTTTTGATCAAAGGATAAAATGCTTGACTAAAATAGTCTATATCATTATTTTTTTTTTCATACTCAGGAGTTACTATTTTGAAAGCTGTTAAGAACTTTTTCTATTATACTAGAGTCCCGGTGCATGAAATTTGTGCACGGGTAGGATCCCTAGGCCTGGCCGGTGATCAGGGCTGATCAGGGCCTTCCTTCATTCCGTGCTGCCCCCCTAGTGGTCAGCGCACATCATAGTGAGCAACTGAACTCCAGTTGAACTCCCGAGGGGACATGGCTATTAGCCTTTTATATACGTAGCTCTTTAAAGCAGTTGAAACGAGTTCAGTTCTATCAGTGTGGAAGAGGAATGAGTATTATATTTGGTTGGAAAATGTGAGTTCAGTACTCTTGGCTGCTAATTGGTGGTGTCTTTGAACCGATTGTTTTATTTCGATGTTTAAATTTTTCATTTTTAAGTTGGAAGTAAGACTGCAGCTCCCATAGGACTGTTGTTTGAATGAAATGAGGGTCCTTAAAACTGGATTATAGAAATTTGAGGTGAGTGTGATACTTATGCCATATATCCCATGGTCAGCCTGTTTCATTCTTGGCTAAATAGGATGTTGTAATTTTTACATTTTTATAGGTTGATTTAAAAACCATTGGAAAGTCATACACTGGCTGCCTTTTGAGTGGGTGCAAGATATAGTTTACAGTAATGCTTTGTCAAATCTCATATATGAAGAAGGTTTCACATAAACAAGACATTTCAACAAAAAAACTAGCCATCAGCAAAGTTAACTGCACGCTGGCTGTTTCATGCAGAGTGGGAAGCAGATGCACCTGTTGGGCAGCTGAGCTCGGATTGCCCTCTGCTGTGCTCTGTCTCCGACTGGCATTGGCACACATTGACTTGAGAGCCCCCAGCGGACTGGATGGTGCGGGTGGACAGTGCCGCTAATATTGGCCATCCAGAAATGACTGCAATATTACTTGTCATTATAGACACTTCATTCATCTTGAAATGTTGGATGATACTGGGAAAGAGGTTTGCTCCAGGAAGAAAAATTTAGTTTTTTTGTTGTCTTTTGTGAAATTGAAGAAAGTATAGATATTTTTCCTGTTCAAAATTGGAGATTTAAAAAAATTATTGAACATTGGTTTCTCAAAGTGATATTGAACATTTAATACCAGGTTAAGCTTTTACATTTGATTTCACTCATCTGTGCGTTCCCGTCATGGTACCATTGATTCCTTTGCTGGGAAGCTGCTTGCTGTCTACCACTGGTTTGGCCTTTTGACATTATTCACCTCAGCATGTATAACTTCTCACATAAACTTGTTTTATTTTTTTATTTTTTATTTTTTTCAGTTGATCAGCAGCCTAGCCAAGATCTCTTGCCAGGATCTCCAGCCAAGTTCTGGTCTGGATCTCCAGCGAAGTTCTAGTTAGGATCTCCAGCCAGCTTCTCCAGGTTCTCCAGCCAGGTTCTGTAGCCATGTTCTCTCGCTAGGTTCTCCAGCGAGGTTCTGTAGCCATGTTCTCTCGCTAGGTTCTCCAGCCAGGTTCTGTAGCCATGGTCTCGCGCTAGGTTCTCCAGCCAGGTTCTATCCAGGTTCTCCAGCCAGGTTCGGTCGCCAGGTTCTGTAGCCGGGTTCTTCAGCCAGGTTCTGTCTAGGTTCTCCAACCAAGTTCTGTAGCCAAGTTCTGTCCAGGATCTTTTGCCATGTTCTCTCCAGCGAAGTTCTTCTATCTCTAGGTTCTGTGTAGGTTCTGTCTTCTAAGTTCTGTCTCTAGGATCTTCATCTAAGTTCTGTCTGGTTTTAAAACAATATTTTAATTGTGGCAAAAACCATAATTTTAAATGCACATACATATATTTTTGATGCATAAAAAACAACCAACCATTTTATTCCGCTCAACACTGACTGGCATGAGACAGCCGTGTTATGCTTAGAGTCCCTGTGTGTCAGGAATTGGAGGGCGTCCTGGGACAGTGGTGTCTGCTCAGTGATGACGGGACCTCCGCTGGGGACTGGATGGTGGGCGACGGGGCAGCTGTGGGCAGAGCCATCTGCAGCCGTCTCTGCTCAGAGCAGGGTGGTGCTGTCCGTCTCCCGGGACAGCGGGGCTGGTGCTGTGGCATCGCCAGGTAGCCTGGCCTCCGAGGTGTGGGCTGTCAGGCGATGGCACTCTTCCCGGGACTGTGGGAGCCGTACAGCATCGCTCGCATTCAGTTGGCCACACGTGAGTCACAGGAGGGCCCTGATTCTATAGAAGAGGGCGATGCCCGTTTGTTGTTGTTCATCCTCACCTGGGGATGTTTTTCCCATTGCTTTTCAGAGAGTGGAAGGGAGGGAGGGAGAGAGATACAGACAGACAGACAGACATTGGCTGGGTCGCCTCCCGCATGTGCCCTGACCCAGGCGGGGAGTGAACCTGAAATCCAGCTATGTGTCCTCCACTGGAAATTACACCCACAACCCTTCGGTGCACGGGCCGACGCCGTAACCACTGAGCACCACCGGCCAGGGTCCCCCTTTACGGCAGAGAGCTTGTCGGCCGTGGGTAACCCTGTCCACGCCAGGGCTCGGGGGGCCCAGGAGGTCGGCGGGCATTCTCCCGGTGTTGAGCCCTGTCTCTGCCTTGCAGTACGTCCACGCGGATGCGCCCACCAACAAGACGCTGGCTGGGCTGGTGGTGCAGCTCCTGCAGTTCCAGGAAGATGCCTTCGGGAAGCACGTCGCCAACCCGGCCTTCACCAAGCTCCCGGTGAGTACACGGCGGCCCGTGGCTGTGGCGCTGATGCTCAGCCGGCGGGCGTCTGCGGGTCCTTTACTGTCGGGTAACATCCCAGCGGTCGCCGTGTGGGTTGGGCCGTGAGTGTCTCGCGGTGCTGTCGTGTCCGCGTAGTTCCTGCTGTGCCGGGTCCTCATTCCTTCCTCCGGTTCAGCTCTTGTGGCTAGGACGCCTTCGGTGGAGTTTTTTTACTTCGTAGATGTAATTCTGCATTTGTGTGAGGATATAATTCTGCTCGTGCAATTGATATTTTGACTGATAATTTGGCTTCGTATAGAAATACTGGGTTATTTTATTTTCATTTGAAATCTGTAGGTTTTATTCTCTCTTTAACATTTTATTTTGTAGAGGAAAAAATCCGTTGATTTTGCATCTCCTTCCCTTTTTTAATGTACTTTTTTTTTTTCATTTCAGAGAAGGGAGAGGGAGAGAGATAGAAACATCAATGATGAGAGAGAACCATTGATCGGCTGCCTCCTGCACGTCCCCTACTGGGGACTCAGCCCACAACCCGGGCATGTGTCCTTGACCGGAATTGAACCCGGGACCCCTCAGTCTGCAGGCCGACGTTCCTTCCATTGAGCCAAACCAGCTAGGGCTCCCCCTTTTTTATGCTGATCTATGAACCTTTTCTTTTTCGCCTTGAAATGTAGAAATATGTCCAGTTGTGGTAAGTCATGATCTGGAGATGCCCTGTGCTGCTTTAGCTCAGGGACCTTCAGCCTTCTAGTCTGTCTGCTGCCCCGTGGGCCTTTATATTTGAACTCTGATTGTACAGATCACTTAGGACTGCCTGGCATATCTCTTCTTAGGATTTTTGTCTTCAATTCTCCGATTTGAGTTTTTGCAGCTTCCATTCTGCTGCTTGCTTGCCCTCCATTGAATTTATTATCATGGACCTTTTTTTAACTCGTAAGGTTCTGAATTGCATGTTCTTATTTTATCACTGAAACTTTTAACAACTCACTGATCTTACAGATAGAATTGAGAATAAGAAATAGTATTGTTTTATTGACCTTGCAGTAAGTGTGTCTACTTTGTTCATGCTGGGTTTTTTAAAATCCTCACGTGAGGATATGTTTATTGATGAGAGAGAGAGAAAGAGAGAGAGAGAGATATCAATTGTTTGCTTTCTATATGTACCGTGACCGGGAATCGAACCCACCACCTCGGTATGTGTGCCCTGACCTGGAATTGAACCCAAAACCTTTCTGGGGTGGGGACAGCTGAGCCACCAGCCACGGCTGCTTATGCGGGTTTTGCCGTCCAGACATGTGTCTTTATTAGTCAAGTGTAACGGTGGTTTTTTGAATCATGTTAGGCTTTTCCCAGTTGCAGGTGATACAGGAATTCGGCCATGTGTTCTTGGAGTATTTGTTTGGTTTCATTTTTTACATGTAATTCTCTCCGTTTAGAGTCTACCTTGGTATTCAGTGTGCGCCGTGGATCTAGTTTATCTTTTTCCATGTGAGTATCAGGTTACCTCAGCAACACTTGTTAGAAAGTGCGGCTTTCCTCACTGATGTGAGCTCAGCGAACAGGCAGCATTTGATTGTGTCCCGAGTGTGAGGCTGTGGCTGTCCTCAGGGCTCACACTCGTGAGCTGTGTAGATGGAACCTTGACTCCCCATCTCAGGGCAGGCTTTGCAGGGAAGGGCCTGGGAGCTGAGTCCTGGGAGCTGGGGTGGGTTCTTGAGGGAAGTGCGGGGATGCCTTCAGCGGTGAGGTCCGCACGGAGCAGCATAGGGGCCAGAGGCAGCTGGCGCCCCAAGGTTAGAGCCGAGGGCTAACACCAGGCTCAAAGGCCAAGTTCACGAGTGCCACGCCAGAGGGGGCGTCCACTGGAGGTCACGGGAAGGGCCGGGAGAGCAGGAGGGGCTCAGTCAGCTTTGGGTTTAGGTCTCCCACAGGCTGATGGGGGCTGTTGAGACTGGAGGTTTGGGCAGCCAGTGCGATTTCCAGGACGAGGCTGCGGTCTGATGCGCGCGAACGGGACACAGCGCGGAGGGCGGAGGGAGGTGGCGGGGCGTCCGAGGGGACGGGGAGCAGTTGGGGACGTTGAAGGACGAATTGACGGGTGGCTGCTGCGCCGTCGACCTTGGCCCTGAGGGGAAAGCCGAGGACGAGGCTCCGAGGAAGGTGCTCGTGCAGCCCAGCTGTCCAGCCTCGGAGACCAGGAGGGTGTTTTTAGGCATCAACCACATTAAAAATAGTCCCTGGCTCAGCCCAGGGGCCAGCTGTGCTCCCTCCCGAGGAGTGTGTAGTCTGTCCCAGTGGAAGGATTGGCCTGCGGGGTGTAAAGAGAAGGGGGGCGAGACGGCAAAGGGAAGGACGTTTGAGTGAAACCTGGGAGCTGTTCGCCGCCCGCTTTCCTTCCTCGTGGGTAAGCAGTGCTGGGGCGAGTTCAAGGGGGACTTTCGGAATCACGCCGGGATCCAGCAGCTGGCTCAGCAAGGTGCGCGTTGCGTGATGCTAGCTGAGAGCCATGGGGACTTAGGAAAGCGTGTTTCTTAAGGCGCGAATGTATCACACGGGCACCATGGGCGTGAGTGGTGAAAACTCGTTCCCACAGCCTTCCCGGCTCAGGACTGTGCGGGCCCAGCACAGACATCGCCTCTGGTGGAAGGCGTCCGTTCTGCCTTTTAAAAAAGGCCACGAGCATCTGTTTAAAGACAGAGCCCGAGAACCTGCACGGCCTGCACAGGTCACGCCCCAGAGTCTCTGTGAGGCCCGTGCCCAGCTCTCGGCTGCTGTGGGGCTGGGGACAGAGACATGGAGGGGGCAGTGATGTCGGCCCGGAGCAGCCGGCTTTTGACGTTTTCTTTGATTTTTGCACCTGGGTATGTGCCTTTCTGGAGATTCAGCCCCACATGTAACATCCTGGCGTCTGTTTTATCCAGCATGTGTTGCAGTGAGTGGTAGGGTTTCTGGCTATTCAGTCCACCTCATGGCTGGAGCCAGCAGCCCCGTGTCATCTGTAAAATGGGCTGGAAGCATCGGCTGCATCGGATGCTTGCGGAGTAAGGAGGCCGCGCGTGTAAGCGCCTCCTGGTAACGCCTCAGACGGCAGCAGGGAGAGGACTGTTCTCCCCAAGAAGAGGCTGCAGCAGGGTGACCTGTGATTACAGGTGCTCACCAGGGGCTCCAGTTGGCCCTGGAGCTACCTGGGTTTGAACTGCATGGATATACATACATATAAATATAAATAAATAAATATATATATATATATATATATATTTTTAATATATTTCTTTATTGGTTTCAGAGAGGAGGGTCCCGGGTACGATTCCAGTCAAGGGCATACTCCAGGATTGCGGGCACATCCCCAGTAGGGGATGTGCAGGAGGCAGCCGATCAATGATTCTCATCATTGATGTTTCTATCACTCTCTCCCCCCTTCCTCTTTAAAAATCAATAGACATATGTTTTAAAAAAAACTAAATGGATTTTCTCTTTTTTATGATTTTCTCAATAACATGGTCTTTCCTCTAGCTTACTTTATTGTAAGAATACCGTGTATAATACATACAAGACACAAAACACGTGTTAACGGGCCGTTTATGTTGTTGGTAAGGCTTCTGGTCCACAGGAGGCTGTGGCGTTTGGGGGGTCTAAAATCACACGCAGATTTTCAGCTGTGGGGTGGGGCAGGGGTCAGCGCTGTGACCCACACGTTCAAGGGCCGACTGTATTACGGTTTCTCTCACTAATACAATTGGGAACTATGTCTAGAAAGCACTATTTTAAAATCGAAAGCAGCTAAAATACACAAAGAAACTTCGAAGTTATTTGATTGTTTCATATTTGCGAGGTACAAAGATTCTGGAGTTGAAGCGATGTGTTTCTCCCCCCAGAATTGTTTTCAGGGTGTGAAGATGCCTGAATCCCCTTGAATTTTCTTGGTTTGTTGAACATACTCGGGTTCTGCTCCTTGGTTCACTTCTCACATTCATTTTCTGACATAGTCATTTCTTGATGAACAGGCCAAAAGGTGGCATTGTTAATGCGTGTACTCAGCCCACACAAACACATTACAAACAATTATCCACCCACCCCCCGTTTTTTTTTTTTAATTTTTAAAAATTGAGCTGGTGTGGCTCAGTGGTTGCGCGTCGACTTATGAACCAGGATGTCACGGTTCGATTCCTGATCAGGGCACATGCCCGGGTTGTGGCCTGGATCCCCAGTGTAGGGCGTGCAGGAGGCAGCTGATCAATGATTCTCATCATTGATGTTTCTATCTATCCCTCTCCCTTCCTCTCTGACATCAATAAAAAAAATACTTTTTAGAAATTGATTTATTGTTCCACTTATTTATGCATCATTGGTTGATTCTTGCATGTGCCCTGATTGGGAATCGAACCCACAACCTTGGCAAATCGGGGCAACGTTCTCACCAGCTGCCGGGACAGGGCATCCCCTCCTTTTTGCCACTTGTGAGCGCTGCCTAGTCCTTAGTTAATAAGTCAAAGAAATAATGCCACCGGCACAGATTTAAAGCTCTTTTAGGTACTGCAGTTAGACGTAGCTTTTCTGGGCTTCGTCCTGCTCGGCAGAGCTGTAGGCGGGCTGTAAGTAGGATGACCCCCTCTGTCCACCCAGAACAAGACGAGACTGACTTCCAGTGCAGCTGCCCGAGAGACCAGCGGATCAGAAGCAGTGTGCCCCCCGCAGCAGGGACTCGAAGCAGCTGGTAGAACTGCCCTGGCCCAGGGTCTCTAGATGGGCAGCTGCTGAGACCTCACATGAGGCAGGTCCCACTGGCTCTGGGAAGCTCAGGTTTTGGTGCCTGTTGTCTTTTCTTTTCAAATATTTTTTTGATTTCAGACAGGAAGGGAGAGAGAGAGAAACATCAATGATACGAATCATTGATAGGCTGCATCCTGCATTCCCCCTACTGAGGATCTAGCAACCTGGACATGTGCCCTTGACCGGAATCGAACCCGGGACCCTTCAGTCCACAGGCTGACGCTCTGTCCACTGAGCAACACCAGCTAGGACCCCTGTTGTCCTTTTATTCTTTAATTTTTTTAATCATCAAGAGCAATTGGCCCATCAGCGGTGCTTCTGCTCAGAGAATGTGTTAAGGACATGAGCCTTTGTACTTAGAGCTCATCTGTGTCACTGAGAGCGAGGCGTCTTCTGGGCGACGGGCTGAGGGGGCATTGGGAAGTGGGTCTAGGCCCCGTGATGTCCCTGGGAAGCCTCTTCTGCCTCCAGCTCTTCGTCCCTGACTCTGGCCTGTTAGTTTTTTCTGTGGGCGATTCCAATGCTGAGGGTCAGAACCCGCGGCCATTTTTATGCTGTGGGATCCTCAGTGCCTGTTTCTAATTCTGCCACATCTGTAGGGATCTGTTTAAAATATATATTTTTATTGGTTTTAGAGAGGAAGGTGGGGGGGGGAGAGAGAGAAATACTGGTGTTTTTCACATGTGCCCCGACTGGGAAGCAAACCACCGTGACCTCCTGGTTCATAGGTCAGTGCTCAACCACTGGCCCACACTGGCTGGACTTGATGTATCTTTTGTAAATCTTGTTTTTTGTTTGTTTGTTTTTTAAAAAATATATTTTATTGATTTTTTACAGAGAGGAAGGGAGAGGGTTAGAGAGTTAGAAACATCGATGAGAAACATCGATCAGCTGCCTCCTGCACACCCCGCACTGGGGATGTGCCCGAAACCCAGGTACATGCCCTTGACCGGAATCGAACCCGGGACCCTTCAGTCCCCAGGCCGACGCTCTATCCACCCAGCCAAACCGGTTAGGGCTAAATCTTGTTTTTTTACAGAGTTTACTTAAAGAGTAATATTTTAGTTGAAATTTGAAAAATATTTTTATGCATTTTTGGACATTTTTCTTTATATTGCAATTCTTTGCAGAGGTACTTAAGAACTTGTTTATATCTTTGAGCTTACTTATAGAATTCAGACATAAGTAATTTTTTCAGAACTTTTATTGTTTTCACGTGTGACTTGTATCATTTTAGGCGAAATGTTTCATGGATTTCAAGGCTGGAGGCGCCTTGTGTCACATTCTCGGGGCTGCGTACAAGTACAAGAATGACCAGGGCTGGTAAGTCCTTGTGTTGATTTGCATGTCTTGATGTGACGTAGAAGTTGGGCTCCACAGCCCACAGCCCACACGCTCGGTCACTAGGCTGGACGCCTCCCTGGGAGTGAAACGGGACACAGCGTTCGCCTTGGTAACGGTTTAACCACGTGAAAAGGACGGAGATCGGGGAGGACGGCACAGATGCTGTGCTGGTGCCTCCACACGGTCTACAGACGTACGGGGGGACTTCAAGGTGAAAAGATCAGTTTTACCACAGCCAGGACAACGGTCATCTCAGAGAACACAGACCTCGTCGAATGTGAACAAATACGGTTCAGATGACTGCCCCTGGCTCTGGACTGCTTCTGCCTGACGTAAAATACCTTAGATTTCCTTCATGGAACAGAGACTTCCTTTTGCTGGCGTGGATCTTAATGTCTTAAAATGTGATCTTCTAGTGTTCACACGCTCCTTTATGTGACTGAAACGCTTGTACATTTGCGTAGTTCTATCATAGTTTCCAGATCTATCCAGCTCATTTGCATTGAATGCTGCAAGCCAAGTCTTTACTTTTGTTTAAGACGGGAGACAATTTAACTAATTATTATCTTGTCTTTTAGGCGGAGGTTTGATCTACAGAATCCATCCCGAATGGATCGTAATGTTGAGATGTTTATGAATATTGAAAAAACATTGGTGCAGGTAAACGGGAAAGCTAAATCCTTACAATTTCTTCCCTTGGATATACTGTCAGTTCTAAGATTAGCTTCATCAGGTTGCCAAAAAAATCAAAGAAAGAATAATTTTCTGAAATCTATTGTTGTGTTATTCTTTTGGATTTAGGGGAATTAGAGATATAAAGTATGACTAAAACTTGTCATTTATAGAATATTGACCTGAAACTTGTGGTGAAATTATCTATGATATTTTTCTTTATTAATTTTACCAAACCCATTATTTGAATCTCTTTCACATTTAATATAAATACTCTCTCATTTGTTTATTCAGTGATTTTCTTTGGATTTGTTTCATGGTTGTGCCATGAATATAGATTTTATTTCCCCTACTAGATTATAACCTGGAGAGAACACTTAATTTTCTTCTTTTCTTCCCTAGTATTTTATTGAGTGGTAATTTGTGGTGGTCATTGACTTAACCTTCCTGGGGTGGGGCATGTGGCAGAAATGCAGCTGGGTCTTCTCAGTGGCTTCATGCCTGGGAGTTGTCTCATGGACCATTAGCTAGAGGAATAACAGGGTTTTTTGTTTGTTGGTTGATTTTTGGTGATGGTTTGGGGAGTTAATAGGAATGTTTCAGTCACTTCTGTATGTAAGATTAGAAATGGGGGGAAAAGAGCTATAATCCACAGTCTTTTTTAAAATATATTTCATTGATTTTTTACAGAGAGGAAGGGAGAGGGATAGAGAGTTAGAAACATCCATGAGAGAGAAATATCCATAAGCTGCCTCCTGCACACCCCCCACTGGGGATGTGCCTGCAACCAAGCCACATGCCCCTGACCAGAATTGAACCTGGAACTCTTCAGTCCGCAGGCACGCTCTCTTTCCACTGAGCCACACCGCCTCTCTTTTCACTGAGCCAAACCGGTCAGGGCTAATCCACAGTCTTTACATCATATTAAGTGATTTACCTGATGAGCCGAAATGAATACCTACCTCCCCCGGCCAACAGAAGGTGTAGGTGGAAACTACATTAGATGTGAGGTGTGCTCAGGTGAAGTGGGCTGGGAGGGCTCATGTGTCACTTGGTGCCTTAATGGAAAAGATGATGCATTTCTTTGGGTCATAATCTCAGCATCTTTTTGTCCAGGTGTACCTGGCTGCAGAGAAGGGACCTGAGGTATCATTAAGGAGGCTGCTGCACACCTAGGTTTTACATTGACATAAAACTTTTCCATTCTTTTCCATACAAAGTACATCTCCCATTCTAAGCAGCCTGGCTTTGAGTGCCAACGTTTGCCATTAGGATGATGCATAAATAATATGACATTATTTTAAAACCAAGAGAATTTAAAAATCTGTTCTTTCTTTCTCAGAGCAATTGCCTGACCAGACCCAACATCTACCTCATTCCAGACATTGACCTGAAGTTGGCTAACAAATTGAAAGATATTATCAAACGACATCAGGTAATAGACTCGACCCTTCAGAAGCCCTTGCAGTCGGGAAGGTCTTGTAAGTCTCCACCTGAGCAGCTTCTTGTTTGTGTTTCTGTCGGCAGCGAGGGAAGGTTTTCCTCCTCTGGGTTCCTACAGTACCAAGTGCTTTTCTCTTCACTCACCTTCAGTGCTTAGCTGAGCCTAGCATTTCCCCTTAGCATTATTGAGATGTATTTGACATGTAATACCGTGTAAGTTTAAGGGGTATTATGCGATGATTTAATACATGTATATGTCCTACAGTAGCATTTAATTGCTACCAAAGCATTCTGGAAAAAGTTTATATATTTGTCTACAGTTTATTTATTTTTTGTTAAATATATGTTTGTTGATTTTAGAGAGGAAGAGAGAAAGATAGAAACATCATTGATGAGAATCATTGATTGGCTGCTTCCTGCACACCCCCCACTGGGGAATGAGCCCGCAATCCTGGTACATGCCCTTGACTGGAATCGAACCTGGGACCCTTCAGTCCACAGGCCGATGCTGTATCCACTGAGCTAAAATGGTTAGGGCTTGCCTACAGTTTATACTGAACACTTAGTTGCCACAGTTCTTAAGAAATCTGACTTTCGTGATTGTTTTCTTAGTGATTGTTTTAGGGACGACCTCCAGAGTGATGTAGCAGATCTTCTGGTTTCATAGACTCCTAGAGAGGAGAACTTAAAAGCTAATACTAGCACCATTATTAAATACCCCTTTTAAAAATATATTTTTACTGATTTCAGAGAGGAAGGGAGAGGGAGAGATAGAAATGTCAGTGATGAGAGAGAGTTATTGATCAGCTGCCTCCTGCATGCCCCTTACTGGTGATCAAGCCCACAACCTGGGCATGTGCCCATTCCGAACCTGAGACCCTTCAGTCCATAGGCCAACGCTCTATCCACTGAGCCACACCAGCGGGGGCTGAATACTCTTGATCAGACCTTTGCTCAAGCATTTAAAGTGCATTAGCAACTCCATTGATTGGTCACAGTGTGTCTGTCACCATTCTTAGCTCCTTTCATCTGTTAACTGTTCCCCACATACTGAAAGGTTGTGGGTTTGATTCCCAGTTAGGACACATTCGGGAGGCACCTGATGTGTGTGTCCCCCTGTCCCTTCCCCTCTCTTTCCCCCTCTTCTTCCCCTTCCCTTCCTCCTCTTCCTCTCCCTCCCCCTTCCTTCCTCCTCTCTGTCCCTCCCCTCCTCTCCCGTTTCTCCCTCCCTCTCTCTCTAAAATTAATAAAAATAGCCCAGGCAGCGTGCCTCAGTGGTTGAGCATCGACCTGTGAACCAGAAGGTCATGGTTCAATTCCCAGTCAGGGCACATGCTCAGGTTGCAGGCTCGATCCCCATTGTGGGGTGTTCAGGAGGCAGCCGATCCATGATTCTCTCTCATCATTGATGTTTCTATCTCTCTCTCCCTCTCCCTTCTCTGAAATCAATAAAAATATTTTTTTAAAAAATGAAATTAATAAAAATGTCTTTGGGTGAGCATTAACAAAAAAAGAATTAGGGGAACTCGTCTATAATAATAAAAGCGTAATATGCAAATCGACCGAACAGCAGAATGACTGTCTGGATGACCTTCTGGACGACCACACTGTGACACGCACTGGCGCCAGGCCAGCCAAGGCGGTTGTGAAACGATTGGTCAGGGAGCCCGCCATCGCCCCACGATCGCCCCGCAGAAGGAGCCCAGTCACCCTCTGCGGGATGATAGATCGGTGGGCACCGGGGAACTGGTGGTGTGTGGCGGCAGACATGGGCAGTGCAAGGCCAAGGCGGGTGTGGGTAGGGGGTGTGGCCGCCAGGCAGCTGGGGCCACGAAGGCTTACCCTTGCACGAATTTTGTGCATCAGGCCTGTAGTCTTCTATATAATAAAAGCCTAAGCGACTTGCAGCATAATGACCAGAATGACTGGTCGCTATGATGCACACTGACCACCAGGGGGCAGATGCTCAACACAGGAGCTACCTTGTGGTGGTCAGTGCTCTCCCATGGGGAGCGCCGCTCAGCTAGAAGCCGGGCTCACAGCTGGCGAGCACAGTGACGGTGGCGGGAGCCTTTCCCACCTCCACGGCAGCGCTAAAGAGCAGCGAGCAGGCAGGCGGTAAAGAGTGAGAGGGCGTAGGCCAGGATGAAGGGATCCCCCGCCCCAGCCATTGCACGAATTCCGTGCACCAGGCCTCTAGTATTACTGAGAATAAGGTTACCCTGAGAGAGAGACATAGAGAATTAGCTGAGGGTACTTGTGTTATTTTTTTTAGAGAACACTGTAAACTGTCTATTGATAATTTTTGTTCTTTTTAATTCCTATCTCTTACCTTGACTAATAAAAATATTGTAGTCTTAAAATAATACTTTTAAAATATAAGTGAAATAATGCCTTTGCAGTTCCTAGGCTGTTTGTGTCTGACGTCTCATGGTTTGCTGGCACGTGCTTTATTTTTACGTTATTTGTTCATTGCCTTTTCAGGGCACATTCACTGACGAGAAGTCGAAAGCTTCCCACCACATTTACCCACATCCTTCCTCACAAGAGGATGGTGAGTGAGTTTTTGGTTGTGATCTGATGAGCTCAGACTTCACTGGATTCTAAGTTATATCATCAGAGGGTTAAATAGTATAACCAGCTATTTTAGAAAGAGTCACAAGTATTAAATTCCACAGATTATTTAAATTTATAATTTTTTATTTATTTTGAATTGGGAAAAGTAAACTAATTCTGTAATGTCCAACTTTCTAATCATTAGACTTTTATTTATTTGTTGGCAGTTATCATCTGGGTGTTAAGTCTAGCCATGCCTGCATTAACTTAGCTAATGTTCCTGTGTCCCTTGTGTTCTGAAAATTAAGAGACATTGCGAGACATTGGTAAACAGGCCCCTCGGAAATATCAGTCGGGGTTGTCTAATGGGTTCGACTCTGGCAGTCAGCCCTGCGACCTGAGAGTGGATTTGGTCAGTAGCCAGAGTTCCTCAGAGCTGTGGCAACTGACTTCTGTTGGAAAGTTGGGAATCAAAACGTGAATTATTAACCACGTTAATTTAGATTGAGAAATAGTTCTCCTATGTGGAGATCTATTCTTAAGCATAACATATCCCCATAGAATATCTATATAAGGAGGCAAATTATATGAGACTTGGGTTGCTAATTCCCCGCACTGTTCTTACTAGTGCAGAGATGCTGTAAGTCAATAACAAGATTACAGACAGTTTCCATATGCGTGAACATTAAGAAATATCTTTGCCATGTAATCCATGGATGAAAGAAGAAATTGCAGTGGAAATGGAAAGTCTTTGGATCCGAATAATTACGAAATTAAGAAAGGATAAGAAAATTAACGTTTCAGGTTGCAGCTGATGCTATATCTAGAGGGAAATTTGGGTCTTAAATGTGTATATTGGGGAAGAAGAAAGACTGAAAAGTCAGTGGTCCACACATCTTTCTCAAGAAATTAGAAAAATAACATTGAACTAAAGCTAGAGAATAAAAAAAATAAGTAATTAAGAGGACAGTTAATGAATACAGTCTATACCAGTGATGGCGAACCTTCTGAGCTCGGCGTGTCAGCATTTTGAAAAACCCTAACTTCACTCTGGTGCTGTGTCACATACAGAAATTTTTTGATCTTTGCAACCATAGTAAAACAAAGACTTATATTTTTGATATTTATTTTACATATTTAAATGCCATTTAACAAAGAAAAATCAACCAAAAAAAGGAGTTCGCGTGTCACCTCTGACACGCGTGTCAGGTTCGCCGTCACTGGTCTGTACAGTAGCAAGGTGCTCAGCAGAGCCAAAGGGCTCTTAGGAAGACCGCTCTCCGTGGTGCTGCGTCTGCCCGGCTTGGAGGAGGCTCTGCCAGGAGAGGAAGGGGGACCTTTCTGAGTTGTGCAGATGCTCAAAGCAGTGACAGGAGGGTCGGTTGGTTGGCTTGGTTGACTGCCTGCGTGTTTGGTGTCAGATCTAAAAACCGTTGCCTCAGCAGAGTGATGGAGTTTACGCCGAACTTGTTCTAAGCGTTTCGTAGTTTCGGCCTTTTCACCGGTAGCTTCGGAGCTGAGAGTTGGATTTGATTTGTAGCAGTCGCAGTCTCAGCTCCGATGGTTGTGCGCTGAGCAACCTCACCTGCCTCTCGTGTTGCTCAGCTTTTGTCCTCTGAGGTCGTAGCAACTGGCTGCCACTGGGTGGGGCTGCTGGGCAGCTGTGTATGGTCCGGGGTTGATTCTGGCTGGCCACCTCTCCTAAGGCTTCTCCAGTAGTTGGCATAAATGCTTAGATCGTGAATGTACTGAAAACAGTGCCTTTTACAAACGGTTTGAACTGCAGGTGTTGCATCTTAGCTATTTAGTAATTTCTTACTCATGTGAGCGTTCTTTCTTTGTTTATTTTAATACAAACTAGTTTACTGGTGTCTGCTAGGTATTGCTATTAGTAGTTGGAGTAACCGTTAGAAGACAGCATTTAAATTTAATTTGTAATATATTGAAGGTACTCTTTGAAGTGTGACACATGATCCTGCACATTGTGGGGCTCTCCTTAGGACCAGGGGCTGTCAGTAAGTGCTGGCTCTGAGCAAAGCCCTGGCTGAGCTCCTGACCTGAGCCTGTCGGGGGAGTGTGCAGATGGTCGCTGCAGCCACAGCACGGTAAAGGCTGTCGAATGCAGTGTGCCTTTCTGTGAGGGTTAGTTACAGTTTAAAAGAAAAGCTGATGCTGTTTCATAGGTCTGAAGGTATTAGAAAGAATTGGAGTGTGAGATGCTAGAAGCGGTACAAAATGAGGAGCAGCAGAGGTGATATATACGGAGTTTGAGGAAAAACAAGTGGCCAAGTTGGGCTTTATGTCTCAGAGTAGGCGGTGAGGGGAGGGGAGGCTGCGAGTCCGGTGAAGAGCTTTGTTGGATGTGGTGGGTGAAGGAGAAGGTGCTGGGCAGGGTGCGTGTGGGTGGGCAGGGCTGATCATTTGGGTGGAGAGGAGTGTGCAGCGGGGGCCGAGCTCGTGCCCTGAGCGGCAGCTCTGACTCGTGCGGCAGGCAGGGTATTTTGTTGAAGCGGACTGGGTTCTGGAAGGCCCCCGGCTCCTCCTCCACTGTCAGTCCGAGAAGGTCGACGTTGGGTGCTTCACACAGAGCACAGGCACGTGGGCTTCCCGGCTGCCTCAGGGCGGGGGCTTGTTATGTGGAAACGGGCGTGGAAGTCGTTTTATTTAGCTGATGTCACTTAGTTAAGTCCTGCTTTTTCTTGGGTTTCAAGAGGCTTCGTTAGAAACGTATTAGAAACGAGTGTTCTAAGCTAAGTTCAGACGACCAGCGGCCACAGCGTAACGGGTGCTGAGATGCAGGTGGTCACCGCCTTTTCCTTGGCAAGGCTGCGTGAATCAACAGCGGTCCGACGGGACCACTGCCGACAGTCTCGTTGGGAGGGCTGGGCTAACGGTGGCCGTTAACGAAGAACAGAAACAGTGCGGTTGGTGAAGCTTGGCAGTCGCGCCGTCGAAGCCGGAGAGAGTGAATCTGAGGAAGAAGGTTCCGGTGAAACTTCCATCAGGAGCTGCAGCCTGACTTGCACTGGAGAGACGCGTGCACGTAGCGGATGCACAGCTCGCAGGCGGTGGGGGTCCTGGCCTGGGAGGGAGGCGTCGGGTGTGGTCCTGATTCGCCGGAAGCGCAGGCAGGTCAGGCAGGTGGCGGGAGGGGTGCACCCGGCGTGGACAGTCGGTTCTGTCAGGGTGGAGGGAGAATTAGGCCTGGAATCCAGTAAGTCTGAGGGCACAGCTGAAAAACTGCCCTCAGAAGATGATGGTGGAGAGCATCCGATTAGAAGACTGTGGGGGAGCTCCGTAGCAAACCCAAAACGGAGTAAAATGAAGTCTAAACAGTAGTCTGTTCACCCACTTTGTCGGCGTGACTGAGCTTTCCTTGTCCTTTCAGAGGAGTGGCTGCGGCCCGTGATGAGGAAGGACAAGCAGCTGCTGGTGCACTGGGGGTCGTACCCGGACAGGTAAGGCGGGGGCGGGCCGGGCGGGGGCGGTCCGTGCCAGCCCGTCACCCAGTTTCCCTTCATGATCGTGGCACTGATCTCACTCGTCGGTCTTATTGGCTGTTTCCTCACTGGCGCTGTGGAGTGCGTGGAGCCGCGTGGCTTTACTTTTCTTAACAAACTGACCTGTTCGCTGCGCTTGCCGGCCAGCTCCTCCGTCGGCTGGGAGAGGCCGGCTTAGATTTCCTTCTGGGGTTTAGGACTGTGTTAGGGTGACCTGTCCGAGTGACCTTCTTTCACATGCAGATACATTTCTTAGAGAAGGAAATATACCTTCACTTACGTTCAGAATTTTAACAGGATGTGCACAGTCTCTATACGTTTGGGTTAATTAGAGCCAAATCCAGTAAGCTTGCTAACCAGCCTCTTTCGAACCACAATTGACTACTTTGAACGAGCAGGTTCTTTAGAAATAAGACTTTCTGTGCACATTGGAGCCTTGAGCCTCGAGTGGCCCTTGGCACTGTGAGCGCCCTCAGCGTTGCAGGGACTGTGGTGGGGACGCAGCCTGTCCTGTAAACACTAGATGGAAACTCAGGTCTACGACAGGCATTGTGAGCAAGGGCTGAAGTCCGCGTTCAGACGTCACAGGAGGCACGGTCGCTCTTTGCCGGCCTTTTCTACGTGTCAAAGAAGCTGTCCTGGCTGCTCGCATCTTGTCTTTCCAGGGGCCTGTCTTTCACTTACTGGCTAGAGCTTGTGCCCTCGCTCCTGCCTGTGTAACATCCTCTCCTCGGGACTTTTAACGGATATGGGTCACCAGGACCTCTTCCCGGTGCCGCCTGTGGCTGGTGCGGTTTATTCACTCGCGAGGAGCTGCTTCCCTCGCCTGGTGTGGAACGTCCTAGGCGCTCGACGCTGGGAACGGGTGCAGCGCCTGCTCGTTCCAGAAGCTTTGGGACTGACTTCCGAGCAGCGGCTGCAGGAAGCAGCGCTTGTGACCGCACTCGGGTTCCCTTTAGAAACCACTGTTGGCCAGGGTGGCAGCACTGACAGCGCTTTAATCTGGAAGGTTCTGTTTTGCTTTTTTCGGAGTGGTGGAGGCACAGGGGGAATGAATGACTCATCGTGAATTGGACCTCGCTGGTGAGGCCTTGAGCTATTGAGCTAAGCGGTGTGACGATCAGGGAAGTGAGCGGAGGCATAGCCGGTGGTGAGGCGCCTGTGGGAGGGCGTGAAGAGGGCCTGGCATGTGCAGAGGGCCCTAAAGCCCCAGGAAGCGGCTCAGACACCCCGAGGGAGCAGAGAGCGCTGGAGACAGCGCTGTGCACTGGCTGAGTTTTCAGAACCACTGCCGCGTGAGAAATGGACGCCCGGGCTTTGGGCAGCAGGAAGGGCGAGAAGCGCTGGGTTCTGGACCTGCTTTGCAGCTGGAGCGGCAGGCGTTTCCGACGGCTGCTCTGGGACAGGAGGGAGTGAAGGCAGGATGTCAGCCAGCGTCGGCTGAGCTCATCGTTGGGGTCGGGAGGCATTACGTTGAGTTCGGAGTGTGTGAGGTTTGAAAGCCTTGCTAGGCCTGTAGGAGGAGATGTGAGTGGACCGTGGGATTCATGAGAGGAGAGGGACGATGGAAAGGGTTTAAGGCAGCGGTTCTCAACCTGTGGGTCGCGACCCCTTTGGCAGTCAAACGACCCTTTCACAGGGGTCGCCTAAGACCATCCTGCACATCAGATATTTACATGACGATTCATAACAGCAGCAACATGACAGCTATGAAGTAGCCACGAAAATCATGTTATGGCTGGGTCACAACATGAGGAGCTGTATTTAAAGGGCCAGAAGGCTGAGAACCACTGGTTTAAGGGGTCATGTCTGTCCGAAGCCATGGGCTGCAGGAGACCAAGTGAAGGAGAGAAGAGGATGGTTCAAAAACTAAACCAGGGGGTGGGGGCTCCCAGTATTGATGAGTTGGGGAGAAGAGGAGAAACTGGCAGTAGAGACAGGAGAGCTGGTGCCAGAGGAACTCCCGTCGATAGCACTGCCGCGGAGGCCAAGCAAGGGAAACGCTTGGAGGAGCGTGATCAGCTTGTTGAAATTCCGTGGACGAGGCTTGAACTTGAGGTTGAACAACGTGAAGACGACTGCAGACCCTACACAGTTTTCCTGTCAGAGCGCTGGAGACAAAAGTGTACGACAGCCCAGACGGCGTAGCTCAGAGGTTGAGCGTCAACCTATGAACCAGGAGGTCACTGTTTGATTCCGGCCAAGGGCACATGCCTGGGTTGTGGGCTCGATCCCCAGTGAGGGGTGTGCAGGGGGCAGCCGATCGATTCTCTCTCATCATTGATGTTTCTATCTCTCTCCCTTCTCTGAAATCAATAATAGAAATGTATATATTTTAAAAAATGTATGATAAAATTCTGTTACTAGATCCTAATAGTCTCTTTGAAATACGTTTTCACATTTTCATCCAGGTCTTTTCAGTGAGTGAATTGGGTCTAATTGATTCCCTTTGTCCTTTCCTTTGTAGCTATGACACGTGGGTCCACAGCAACGATGTTGATGCGGAAATTGAAGAGCCACCCATTCCAGAAAAGCCGTGGAAGGTGAAAGCTGCTTTTTAAAAAATTATTCTGATGTGACCTCGTAGCTCTTTTCAGCTATTCTCCCCAAGGTTTTTAAGGAGACACGGAATGGTGATCTTACTCTCTTAGAGCTGTCCGTGGCCTGGAGGCCTTAGCATCTAGGTCTCAGCCACAGCATCTGCCGTGATGTGTGATGAGGAGACCCAGCGCCCAGGGTTTGAGAAGCTGAGGGAGGATTGGGGCGGGCGTTGAGCGGCACGGCTGCTGTCAGTTAGGACGGCTGGAAGCAGTGCCCACGTGGCTTTATTGCAATAGACCTGTTTTTCTACTCATTTCTGCTAGTGGCAGGGGTCCATGCATCAACTCGTGTATTTCTCAGCTTTCAGTGTGGAAATAATTTGGAAAGCTGTATGAGTAATAAAAAGGTATTACTTTATAGTTTTCTTCCAGATTTCCCTGTTGTTAATTATTTCAGGAAATTCTTAAAACGATATTATTACCTTATACCGGGCCCATTTTCCATTTCCACCAATTGTCCCAGTGATAGAGGAAGTTTATACTGAGTTTTTCCCTGGTCCGTCAGCAATTCCTGCCTCACGCAGTCCGTTCTGACTGGCGCCTCTCCCGCTGTCCTTCCTGCGCTTGGAGTTGGCGTCCCTCTTCCTCCCACGTGGGCTCGTGGTGTCACTGCGCTCGTGGAGCGGTGGCCGCCCTGCCGTGCTTCCCTTTGATGAGTTGTCTGACCTTGGCCGATGGGAACGTTGAGCTGCCTCGTGTGGCCTTTGGGCATGATTTGGTGTGTGCTTGCCTGTCACTTCTATGTCCTGGCCCTGGAGCCGGCATTTCAGCAGAGAGCTCCGGCCGCTCCCAGGAGCAGTGGCCGGGAGCCATGGTTTTATTGATCCTTTAATAGGTGCTAGGGGCCTGTGCACAGATTCTTGCAAGGGGCGCCGCCCTCACAGCCCGGCTTCGTCCTGAAGATCGTCTGGACTGCCGTTCCACTGTTCAGCCATCCAGTCGATTTGCATATTATGCTTTCAGTCTCACAGACGATGAGCACCTAAATTGAATCAAAATATTTGGTATTAGTCTGGTCCAACCAGTTTTAACGGCGTGGTTTTCAGAGAGACCTAGCCCCTGAGCTTCAGATTTCATAGGAAAGTGGGATTGGCAAAAGTGAGTCTGCTTCTTAAAAAGTGTGTGTTCGGGATAATGCCACACAGAGAAGTTGCAAGAATAAGAATAGTACATGGCATACCTATATCAGATTTGCCTACAGCTAACATTTTATTCCCTTTTTGAATTCTCATGTATAATCTCTGTGTGTGTGTGTTTTTTCCTTGAACTGTTCAAGATAAAAATGCGTACGTCATGGACTTTTACTCCAAAATATAAGTGTGTGTTTCCTAAAATAAAGGAATTCTTATACAGAAGCGTAGTACAGGTTTTTAGTACATTTAACTTTATTAAATTTAACATTAACACATGCTTTAAGCTACTATCTACATTCCAGTTTTGCCATTTGACTCAATGTTTTTATAGCAGTTTTTTCTCTTTAATACAGAATGCTGTCTGATATCAGGTATTGGATTCATATGCCATGTCTTTAATTTTCTTTAACTTTTTAAAAAATTTATTTTATTTGTTTACTGTTCACAGTATTTCTTTATTGTTTATTTATCAAGAGAAGCTATTCCCTAGCCCAAGTATTCATGTCTCATAGTTCAGGAACTCAGGTCAGTGACCAAGTTCCGTGGAATTCAGCCCAGAGACATTCCTGGCATTCCAAGAGCACTTTGCACTCTGACCCCAGCCTTCCTCATCTACGCAGAGTCCTTCATGGGTTATAACTTCTGTGGGAATCTGCACGTGCCTTCTTGGTGGGTCCCCACACCCCGCCGCCAGGGCGCTGCCAGCCCAGGGCACAGAGATGGCGCCAGCAAGCGAAGCTCTGGCCGCTGAGGCCTTGTCAGTCCTGCAGGCAGTGCTTTCCCCGCAGCACAGCGCCTTCCTGCTGCCCGCCCGCGAGCACCACAGCCTTTGTGATGTGTTCTCGTTCCGGAGGAGTATTTCTCATGGGAGTGTCTGCTCTTTTCTCCTGGCTAATTCAGCTTGTGCCGCAGACAGAGCTGCGGGGTGAGGTCATGTCCTCCGCATCGTGTGCCGTCCGCTCCTGCCTGTGATGGCGTCACCCAGTCGGGGTGTTGTCCGACGGCTCCCACTCCCCCTGCCGGCTTATCCCCCACGGGCAGCCTGGACGCAGTCGTGAGGTGCTTTAGACCAGGCAGACACCCTGCTCCTCATGGGAAGCCCTCAGCCGCCCAGTTAGCATCCACTCGGCTCCTGCTGGCCTGTCTCTGACGATTGCACAGCGGTGCTCTTCCACTCCAGCCCGCCCTCTCCACTTGCCAGCGGCTTTCAGCGCCCTTCCTTTCCCTCGTTTGTATTTTTTAAAAAAGATGACATGATTAGCTCTTAGTTATCAAAACCTCAGTGTACGCAAAGCCAGTGGTGCTTTCTTACTCTTGTTTATTTGGGAAAAGACATGGAATAAAATGGTTAAGTGGCCATTCACATATAATTGTTCATCTTTTATAAAAAATATTTTTATTGATTTCAGAGAGGGAGAGAGAGAGATGAAGAGAATCATTGATTGGCTGCCTCCTACACGCCCCCGACTGAGGATTGAGCCTGCAGCCTGGGCATGTACCCTGACCAGGAATCAAACGGTGACCTCCTGGTTCATAGATCCATGTTCAACCACTGAGCCACACCAGCCAGGCTGTCATTGTTTAAAGCTTATAATATGCAGTTCAGGATTTTAGAATAATAAATCAGCTTATTTTCTGTTAAATACTTTTATAGCCTCTTTTTAATACTTTTAGATGCAAGTGATTTTATTATTTATGTAGGTATTCCTGCTTTAATGTGGTTTTAGGTTCATGCAAAGTGGATTTTGGACACTGATGTGTTCAATGAATGGATGAATGAGGAGGACTATGAGGTGGATGAGAACAGGAAGCCCGTGAGTTTTCGACAGCGAATTTCAACAAAGAATGAAGAGGTATTTGGTTCGGCACCATTTTTCTCCACTGGGTGTTTCTTCTTTGGCCTGAATGTTCTCAAATGTTCATTGATAAACGGTCACATACAAACCCAGGTGCATCCGCCCTCGAGTGCATGTGAGAGTGGCACCGTCGCAGGCGCTGGCACCTCCTCGAAGACCGGGCAAGTCGGGGTCACTAAGATTAGAAGTGGCCGTGACAGTGGTCCAGCTGCTTATGTCCTTGAGAGCTGAGTTTTCATTCTGATTTCCAAATGCGTCACAGGGTAACTTAACTGAGTTGTTTGTTTCCCAAGAGGAGACTTGTTTAGTTTTAATATTTTGAATGGCGTTACTCACACGCAGTGGTCAGTACAAAGCAGAGGCCTTAAAGGTCTCAGTGACAGTTGAGTCCGTTTTGAGGTGGGAAGACGTGCTATTTAATGCTCTAGTCCTTTAAGAAGCCCACCCACTGAACACTTGCCTGTGGTTCCTTGTGGGGTCACAGCTGGTGGGGTGGGCGGCTGGGCTTGTGGCGGCCTCCGGTAGAGACCTGCAATTCTAGAGTCCTTTCCAATGGGGACAGTCACATCCAGGGGTTTTGTTTTTTATTTTAGTTTTTCTTACATCTTTGAGACAAATACACCTTTAACCTCTCACTTAGAAAGTGCGGGTCTTTCATGCTGTGTTCAGCCCTGTGTGTTTCTCTGTCACACTGTGTGCTCTTTATTGTTAAGGCTATTTTAAAACTAGGTTTTTTTTCATTTTTTAGTTCCTATTGCTTTGGAATATCACTTTAAATTCTTTTATTTTGGCCTTCTCTAATATGTTTACATATTTGTTTTCCCTTAATGCATTTCAAACCAAATCTTTGTGTCATCAGGAATATTCTAATTTCCATAACACATTATTGAACTGGCTTGTTCCTGTCCACCCCTTATAGATTTAGATGGGTTGTTTATTCACTTATCTTTAGGGAGGATTCTATAAAATTGATCTAATATGCCTTTAAAAAATTTAACTTCAGTTTACATACTAATCAAAGGCGTGTGTAGCTTAGATTTTCTTCCAGACTTCTCTCCCCGGCTCTTACGATGCTCAGGTCCCCCACTGACTGGCCCGAGAAGATGGAAATTTAATTGATACTTCAGCTCTGATATTTGGGAGCGAGGGACACCTCATTCCATTCTTTGGATCATTTCGGGGTTTTCTTTATTGTGTCTGTTGTATAGATTGGCAGTTGGCGTCTACAGGTTGACTTCTGTATATTGATCTGTACCCTGCACTGACGAACTCACCTGTTACCTGGGATAGTTGTTCCGTGGATTTCTGAGGATTAATGCCACCTGCACGTCGGGATAGTCTTATTTCACATCTTTTGTATCAAAGTTATCTTTTATCTTTATTTCACTGACAAAGTAGGAGTAGTTTCTGGAACATTTTCCCAAGCTTATTCAGCCTGTCTTTGTGTCTTATTAATTTAATAACAAGTTTCATATTTTTCTACTAATTGCTGGACATGTTTTTCCCACCGGGAAGCCCCGGTTGTGAGCAGGGTCGTTTTCGAGGTGGGCTCGGCGGGTCTGCTCTGGAGAGAAGTGGAGTCCTGGGGCTAGTGCTGGCGTTCCCATCGGTGACGCGGCGCCTGAAGGCGGGAAGTCCCTGGGCTGCTGGTGGCCAGGGTGCTGGGGATGTGCCCTGCATTGGCGCTGAGCTCGTGTGTTTGTTACCGTCTTTGTGACAGTGCACTTTGGGGCAAGGGCTCGTAGAAACTGAGGCGTCAGCAAAGCTGGCTGCTGCTCGTCTCCGTTTACCTTCCAGCCAGTCAGAAGCCCCGAGAGAAGAGACAGGAAGGCATCAGCGAGTGCTCGGAAGAGGAAGCACTCGCCCTCCCCGCCACCCCCCGCGCCCACAGAGTCCCGGAAGAAGAGCGGGAAGAAAGGGTAAGCACCAGCCGGCAGACCCCAGGGGCGTCCTAGGGGCGCCCTGCACAGCTCAGTCCCTGAGTGCAGTCTTTCCTCTGCGTCTGAGTATATAGGGAGGATGGTTGCTAAAGGGTTTAGGACATTATATTCATCATCGTTAATGTCTGTGTCTCTCTGATTTTGCTACCTGTCCCGTTTGTGATCAAAATAACTCATGCAGGGCATGAACGTATGACTTAAGGCCCTGTATAGTGCATGGCCTGAAGTAGATCCACCTAATAAATGGTAGAGAATACTTAGTAATTTTCATAGTTAGCTCAAAATATTTTTTTTAAATATACTTTATTGATTTTTTACAGAGAGGAAGGGAGAGTGACAGAGAGCCAGAAACATCGACGAGAGAGAAACATTGGTCAGCTGCTCCCGCACACCCCCCACTGGGGATGTGCCCACAACCAAGGCACATGCCCCTGACCAGAACCAAACCCGGACCTTTCAGTCCGCAGGCTGATGCTCTATCCACTGAGCCAAACTGGTCAGGGCAGCTCAGAATATTTTAATAACATTTATAAATAACACTCATGAACCAGCCACAGTCATAAAAATGATTTTACTATTTTCTCAAGCTGCATGTATGTGTATATTGTGAGGACCTTACCAAGGACATGGAAGACCCAATGTAGACCCAAGTTAATACATAACAGATTTTTCTTCAGGGATTATTGAGGGTAACCTTATTTCTTAAATATCAAATCTGAATCCTGATGTTCCTATATTTCGGACCCACCTGCGATCCTGCGACGAAGCTGGGAATCAGTGTGCTCCCCCTCCAGTCGGGGCCCAGCAGGGTCCAGGGCGCTCGTGGTCACGGAACCGAAACGCCACCTCCTGGGCTCGCAGTGGTGGCAGTAGGCCTCTCCTTTGAGTGTAAAACCCACCACATTGAGTTTCCTAAAATGAACGCTGGGAGTCCTTCAGTTGACTCTATCTGTTTTCTAATGAGCGGGCCTTTGCTCACTTAAGTTCCCCTTTATTTAACCAAAATCTGTTTTCTGAATGTTTGTTGTATTCATCTTCCCTGCATCTTTTCTTCCCTTTTTACATATTTTATCTGCCCACCACCTTTAGGTTCATAGGCCTTTTAAAAATTGTCATGTAATTTTTGTTTGAAAACTTCAACCTGTATCCCTCAGTCTAACCCAGCGGTCGCCCACCGGTGGCCCGCGGATCACTGGTGGTCCGTGAGGTCCGAAGGTTGGCGATTGCCGGCCTGACCAGTACCGACATGCTGCCCCTCTTAGAAGGGAAGGGCGAGTGTTCTCTCGGAGTGGAGGCCTCGGGCTGGTCTGTCCTGTGTCTCCATCCCCACGCCCTGGTCAGTCCCTCCTGTTCATCTTTACGCCTTTACTCCTCATCCTGAAACGGCCTGCTTCTTGGTGACTGTCCCTTTCCCAAGGCTCAGCGTGGCTGTCGCCTGCAGTCGGGGCTGTTGCTCCGGGCTGTCCCTCCGGCTGTCCCTCCGGTCTGTCCCTCTGAGCTTCATTTTCTCGGTGCCTTTGTTCCTTCCTCTGCATTGGCCTGCGTCGCGTGTATGAATTGGGTGGTGGTTTCTGTCTGTGTC